CTAAGAGAAGGTCACAGATATTATAAAGCGATATATATATATATATATATATCCTGACGCTACAACCATGTTCTTTTGTGTTCCCAGGTGTCAGCAGCCCAAGGCTCTTCCATCTTCAACCACCCACCTCTCTTTGTCATCAAGCAACCAAAGGCGTCAGCTTTCCCCGACCCACGAGTGACAGTGACCTCCTTAGATCTCCCCACCCGCGCACATTAACCCCCCTCAAGCCAGGCTTTGCTTCCACCTCAACGAGGAGCAGATAGCGGGTAGGGGGGTTCCTTCCCACCACTATCCTTCTTCCTCTTGCTTCAATCTGCCTGGAGATGAGACCTCAGCCGTGAAAGGTGCCGAGACTTTGTATTTATGGAATTGACATATTTATTTATTTATTACTTCCGTGGAAAGTCCTTTCGCCGCCGACCTTCGGCGCCTCTTGGCTCACCGCGGGTGGAGGAGAAGCAGATCCTGGTGGATCCTGAAGTTTTGTTTTCGGACAATTTTGCTTGTAGGTCACATGTCGGCCTCCGAACCTGCCTGCGATCTCGGTGGTTTAGGTCTATCGCTTCACCCGGCAGAGGGTCCGGCGTACGCCGTCCTTGTAATCCAGCAGCCAGGTCCGGTTTTTTTTTTTAAGATGCTCAGCAACGTCTACGCGTCCACGGGGCCCGGCGGGTTCCGCTCACTTCTACCACACCGTGTTTCAGCATATACGAGGCACCCTGAAATCCTGGCTTGAGTCTCTAAGACTTCAAAGCTTACGCTTCAGACGCCAGTGCCTTACCGCAAAGGCTTCCCACCTCCATGTTTACTAGAAGGGCGCAAAGGCAGGAACGGTGTTACATGGGATGGCGGCGTTGGTAGACTGTTTCGTGGAACGTTGGATGCCACCGGTCCTTTGCCATGAATCACTGGTGAGCTGTATTGGCGGTAAATGGATCTGGTTTTAGCGGGGTGCTTCTTCTGACGCGGTCCGGGCGCTACTGGAAGGCAGGATGGAGACTTTTGATAGGAAATCATCTCCTATTGGCTGAGAAGTGACGGATCAATAAAAATGAAGGATCTTATGGAGTATTTACCCATCGAGGACCTGGATGTGCCGGATCTCCACACCTAGGCAGAGGCTGCACTTATTAAGAAGGGGCGGAGAAGGCCAACACCCACATTTCAGTCTATATATTGGTCTTGGTCTTCAATATGGCATGGAATATAGGCGCTCTACGCACATTTACGACGACTTTTTCTTTTATTACTTGAACGTGAAGTTTCTTTTCTACGTAAAGTTCTTCGGCATAACCACCATACAAAAGCAGAACGTTGCCGTGGGGACGTTACGGACCTCTCTTCCCAAAACCATCAACGGGCGCGCCGCGAACGCCCCACCGCAGGATGCACGCGGCGGGGCTCGTGGAAAACGAAGAGAGCATGTTGTGCAATAATGTCGAGTCTTTCTATGCAGTCACAAACCTTGCAGCTGACTTGGGCAACTTGTGGCTGCTAATGTATATACAAATAATCATAAAAAGCATACAAAGATACGTTACTGCCTCGCGCAGATATCCCTCATGTTGGTACTTCAAGCTAACCTGTGCAGAGAATAAATCCAGGTGAAAGGTCCTTGAAATAAAAGGCTTCCTCTCCAGCCACCGTTGTGTCCTACCCTCTGTCCTATCGAGAGTTGCAGCCACCTTTAGACTCTGTGCCAAAACTACAAATCCCAATATGCATCTGCCTCTGGGAGTTATGTCTGCGGCTGTCGGAGCCTTGCAATGCCTCATGGGACTTGTAGTTCCAAAACAGCTGGAGTGCCGAGGTTCGCCATCACTGGTCTATGGCATAAGACCTGGCGTGTTGAATGCCTGCGTCCCACCATGTGCCATGGTCCTTCCCACCCCTATGTCACTGTTTAGTGCTGTAGTGCCATAGGGGGTCAGAGGATGGAACCAAGGCACGCTAGCCCTTGAATGCCGAAGAGTCTTCCAGAGAACAGAAGGAAGGTAGGAGACATTGGCCGGTCAGGAGGTCAGTATAGAACCAATTCTATGGCAGGGACCTTCCACCTGGATTTCCTCAACCGGACGAGTCCCTTTAATGCCCGCCCTCCCCAGCAGCACATACCATCCCCCCACAACTCTGCTCAGCTGCTGTAAGCAAGGGAAAAAAACCAATGGGGGGGAATTTATCAAAACTGGAGCAGCTGTGCATGGCGACCAATCAGTTTCCCTCTTTCATTTTCATATCTTAACTGACCGAACTGAGGAGAGAAGCTGATCGGTTGCCATGGTAAGAGCTTACACCAAGCTGAAGACTCCCTACCTGCCCCAATGTGACAGCACTGGGCCAATCACCGCCTAAGAGGACGGGAATAGATCATCACATGCTCCTCCATACTCCCATGTATGGGATAATGTCTTTACACCCGTCAGGTGAACAGAGCGGTGAAGAGCACGGTATGTGTTGCTGGGGTGCGGGGTATGAAAGGGGCAGAGAGGCATTTGTCCTCCATTGGCAAAGCACAGGCTTGCTTTAAAGACGATCCTCCATGGTAGACGGAAGGTCCACGTTTTTGGCCCCAACACCTCGGAAACAAAACCGTTAGTCCAAAATAAAAAACCTTGGCCCCCGGCCCCTGATGTCGCCACGTGTGACAGCACTGGGCCCCGGCCTCTGATGTCTTCAGGCGCCACGTGTGACAGCACTGGGCCTAGGGTTGCCACCTGGACAGTCCGGGTTTTGAATGCTGTGTCCGGGTTTCATGGCAGCAGAAACCCGGACACAAGATGTCAGGCAGACGGGGGCAACCAAAATTAAGATGGGGCTACCGGCCCCCCACTGAAAATAGCCTCAACTGTGATATTTACATATGAATGGGCGGAGCTATTTACGTATGAATAAGCAACAACTCATTCTGCCCAAAAAAAATGTCCGCACGTTGCTGGAGTGTTCGGGTTTCGCTTGAAGAAAAGGTGGCAACCCTAACTGGGCCCCGGCCTCTGATGGTGCCACATGTGGGGTGCATTCTCTTGGGATTCCCAGCAAGGGAGGTGTTGTCACCCTTTGTAGGCCGGGCAGAGGAAAGTATATTTTGCTTTTTAAAGTCAAAAGTGTTGGGGGAGAGGGGGGGCAGGGGGCGGGCCTTCCGTTTTCCATGAAAGGTCTGCTTAAGGGTCATGAATCCAGTCTTCATTTGTGATCTGGTCTGAGACTGTGTCAGCGTCATGCCGGGAGTGAACAGGAAGTCGTTTTTAATGGGTTTTTACTCGCGGGATTTGAATGCATTTTGCTAAAGTGAACTAAACGAGCAAACACGCTACATGATGCCCTCGAGCTGCCGAATTCTGCCCCGTCTGTAGCTCCCCCAATTCTTCAACCTCTCTGTGAATCTGTTACAATGGATCATTACCCGTGGCAAGAATAAAAGGATGTAAACACAGTGATTGGCAGGTGTGGAGAGCTGTGTGATCACGGTAACAATGGGGCTGTCACATGTAAGTTGCCCCCTCAGAGTGTTCTCAGATGTTTTCCTTTACGACCCCTCTAAACGCACGGAGACGTCCTGGAATAACGCTGGTCCTGGAATAACGCAGGTGTAAAGCCTGGTGACCTGAGATGGAGCATGGTCCTCCTGGCCCGAGGGGTGGGACAGACTTGTAGCCGATGTGGCAAAAAAAACAAACCTGCAACCTTCTTCTTCCAAACCAACTCCGAAAATCTGATTTCCTCACAACGCTCCTGGGTTTTGTCTCCATGAATTCTATTAAAGCTGAACTCCGGGCAGAACTCTGATCTCATAGTTGGCAAGGTCGTTTCTTACCTTTGAGGAACATGTTCTCCTCCTTTCCATGTGGTCGTCCTCCCACTGATAAATCATGGGGCAGCCCTACAATCTTCACCTCCTGAGGCTGCTGGAGGGGGGATGGGAGGGGTGCATGTTACCAGGGGGGTTGCTGAGTTGGCAGTGCACGTTGGTGGGGGGGGGCATGGGACCTCCGTCTGGCATCCCACCCAGCTTACCGAGAGCTCTGGGACACCAGCCAGAGCTTCCCACTCAGCTCCTGGCAACCAGTGAAGTCAGTAAGCTGGGCTGGACGCCGGCCAGAGCATCACAGGAGCTCTTAGCAACCTGGAACACTGTGACGGGAAAGGTGTCCCTCCCACCCCCCTACATGAGTCAGTGAGATGCCACCTGAGGCAACCACCTCAGACTGCCTCATTGTAGGATGAATCCCAACAGTTCCCTATTATAAGACCGGTGGCCGTTCCTTCCCATGGCCAACGGTCTCGTATAATCTTCTTCCTAGTTCCTGTACAGCGAGTGACATCATCATGACATCACCGCTCACTGTACAAGGGACTGCCCAAGTGATCGCACGAGACCGTTGGCCATGGGAAGGAATGGGCACAATGGCCACTGGTCTTATGATAGGGAACTGTTGGGATATCTGTAAGAAATAAAGTCAACTTGCTGTATTTTTCTTGAAGACGTTTCACTGGTCATGCTGGATCAAAGGAGGTCCACATTATGGTGCTGACTTCATTGGCCCTCATGGCACCACATACTATTGTAACTCGTCCACCATCAGCTGACACGATGACGGACAGGCCGGGAGACTCCTGCTCATTCCTGGCGAAAAAGTCCCCCACAATCCCGCCCACATCCAACCCCATTGCCCCCACGTCATGTCCATTGTTATCTGCAACTTCGATAGCATGCTGGGGGTTGTAGTTTTGTCTTTCAGCCCAGACACAGGAAGTGTTGGCTCTGCGCTAACATCACCTCCAGGTACCCGGGCACGGCCGCGGTCTCTGATTCAGATCAAGGTCTTCACTGACTTGATGAAGGTGAGTTGTATGTTGGCTCTGAATCCAGGGACAGGAAGTGGTGGCTCTAAATCCAGGTACAGGAAGTGGTGGCTCTGAATACAGGGACAGGAAATGTTGGCTCTGAATCCGGGGACAGGAAGTATTGGCTCTGAATCCGGGGACAGGAAGTGTTGGCTCTGAATCTGGGGACAGGAAGTGTTGGCTCTGAATCCGGGGACAGGAAGTGTTGGCTCTGAATCTGGGGACAGGAAGTATTGGCTCTGAATCCGGGGACAGGAAGTGTTGGCGCTGAATCCGGGGACAGGAAGTGTTGGCTCTGAATACGGGGACAGGAAGTCCTGGGGGGGAATCAGGAACCAGCCCGGAGTTCAGCTTTAAGGTTCACAGGAAGTACAGCATTT